GAGCCAAAAATAGTAGCAATAATGAAAAATTATTCTATTTCTCTCTGAAGCTCACGACTGCCACTCCTTACAGTCAATATGATTGCCACATAGCCTAAGTGGCTTAATAAATATAGTAGCTAATCCGTGAATCAAGGGATAAACAATCACATGCAAATAGTGATCAATATGCAGCTAGTCAAACTTGCTTTTTCCATTTTCCAGCTTGCTTCATATGGAACATCATTCCCTTCCTTTGATAGCTTGCCCACTTGTTGCATGTCTTCCTTTTATACTTTTGTTAATATAAAATTTTATCAACAAAAAACACTCTTCCTTTGCTTTCGGAAAATGCATGAGAAAGGAAAGAATAATCTATTCCTTTCTCCATGTGGATGGCATGCAACACAAGAGAGATAATAATAAACAAAACATTATTTGAGCCAATGTTCAACACTTATAAGCATAATGAATAAGAACCAGAATTTTGAATCAAACTTAAAACTTGAAACTTATAAACCCAGAATATTCATGTTAGGTTACATCGAAACCCTAGATATTAATTTAGCTACTCATAATGTCGAATTAACAATAACATAATTGACAAAACATAATGAATGCAATAAGAGTAGAAAAACCATTTTTTGAAGTTCTTGTGGTGTCCAATGCTTCTCCAAGAGCTTCTCCATGTCTAGAAGGATGTATGAAGGTTAATGAGGTGATTTGGGATGAGTTTGGGTGAGTGGTGATAACTGAGAAAGGAAATTCATAGGGAAATGGCACAGAGGATTGCTAGGACAATTTTGGTGAGTTGGGGTTGTTTAGAGTTTTGGGTTGATTCTTGGAGTGTATCGGGTTGTGAGAGTGTTTTAGGGTAATTTCTGAATGTGTTTGATGAATGATAGGAGTGTGAATGATGGATGAATTGTGGGAGTGTAAATCCTTGGATGTGGTTGATGAATGATGGGAGTGTGAATCCATGGATGTGCTTTTTCTTTTTAGTGTGGAATGGAAGTGGTATTTATAAGGAGAAGGAAAGGGGAAATCTGAATTAGATATTGCCTCTACCAACAAAACCAATTTCACCAACTTTACCTAACACATCAATATTATTGAAAGTCAGTTTCTTTTTTTATTTGGATGTTGCACTTCATCTTCTCTGCTCACCAATAAATCCCACTAGCAAAAATAATAACTCATGCATAGCTCAACATGACCATACAACAATTAACTTATGCTTATGTCAGAATAACCAACAATTTTGTGGACTCATAACTTGGGTTTCCCATCAGCAAATGACGACTTCGAGCCCTCCAACTTGAAGTCTAGAATGTCATCTTTCCAACCACATATCATTTGGGCCAATCCAAGGTTAGATGAAGATGTTAGGTCTGAAACAAGTTGCTAACTTAGTCTCTAGTTTTGGACATTTTTGCATCATTTTACATCTTTTTTTGTCCAAAGCCACCAATACTACCTAACGCTTAATTAACTAAATGACAAACACAAAAGCGATTTAAGGCACAAGTTTAACTCAAAAACATAACCAAATCAAAAGCTAAAAGGGTACGAAATGTACACAATTATGCACTGATCAGAGGGCAAGCTATAGATGTTCTAGATGACAAATTGTAGTGTTTCTTCTGTAGAGTAAAATTTCCGCAATGATCTCCGCAATTATCAGGAATCCAACCACTACAATTAGTAGCCCTAGTGCGATTATATCCAGCTTCAAAATGCCTGAATAGCTTTTTGAAGGACCTCTTGAAGAAAATTCATACATTTAGGTGCATGATCTATAATCATAATTGTCTGTTGGAACTCCATTGTAGCAAAAGGTTCATTGGTTGATTTCATATAATTTAGCACCTCTAATGACCCTTTTGCTTTGATGATAATATAAGGACATGGAGTGTTAGTTAAATTAAATATATCTGCAACAAGTATAGCTCCTTTAATTATTAAAGAGGTGATAGTAGAGATTTGATCATGAGTCGATCCTAATTCACATAAGATGATTCCATTAGATTTTCCATATAATAATTTAGACGAATTACATGCTGATTGGGTTTCTTCATATATTAGAAGTAAGTTTTTTTTTATCTAAATGGATCTTGGAAATGTAGATCATTCAATGATTCTGAAACCATTTCCTAGAGTTAGTACTCCAGAAAAACCAACGATCACCAACAGTTATAATCCACGGAAATCCATTGCACATGGTCCTTATACTTGGCCTATCATTCCCTGTTGCACATACAACAACTATGTCTTTTTCCATAGCAGAAAATGATGATCTTGCAATAGCATCATAATACATTGGTTTCTAAATGTCAACAATAGAGAGGCAAATCACATCAACACCATATATTATGGCTTGCTCCATTGCAGACATTAAATCTATGTTCGTAATGGTATCAATCCAAATTACCTTATAAATAGCAATCTTTGCATGTGGTGCAACACCTTTCATTTTTCCATTAGCAGAACCAAAATACAACACTCCCATCTACAAAATTCCTAGCAACAATGGTGGAAACAAATGTCCCATGGCCCATTGTGTCTCTAGAAGAATTCATTTTTATTTCAAAGCTAGTATTGTGGTTTAGCAAACCGTCATTAAAGTACCTGGTTCTTATAAGCTTTAAGTTACACATTGAGGACTTTAATCTTCCCCTTCCTCACATGAACCCTTCCATTTACTCATATTTGTATGATCTTCAAAGTTTGGCCTTTCAGGCCACACTCCAAAATCTATGATACCGATAATAGTATCTTCATTGTAAGGAGAGAAATTTAGGTGTATAGGTACTCAACGATGTTGTAATTTGACCACAATCAATTTATACAAATCATTGGTACTTTTTTAAAGTCTCTAGTTCTTCTAGTGATAGAACAACACTAAAACCATGTAAAACAATCTCATATGTGTATAAAAGTGACGGTGAAGATCGATACAGGTCATCAAACAATGTGAAATTTGTAAATTTAAGGGAATCAATAATGGCAAGATAGCAACAAACATATGAAAAATAAAGAGTAAGGAAGCAATTTTTTTTGGTTCTAGAATGATTGAACTACAGTTTTGGTCTTTATGTTCTAACCTTTTTTGAGTACAAGCGATAGTCTAAAGGGAGAGGGATTTCTCTCACACACATAACCACTAGCGGATCCACAGAGGCGCAAAGAGGTGCAGCTGCATCTCTCCTCGCCAGAAATTTCCTTGGGAATGTTGGAATTTGCCCCTTTGCTAGTGCCCACCAATTGTTTCACTAAATGTCTCAAAGACGTTGTTTTGTTTGCTGCTGTGTGAGACCCTGAATATTTACCTTAGATTATTGGGCTTGATCTCACGAGCATGTAGGAGAAAACAGTTCATCAATTGGAGCTCCACAACCAAAGTTATGAATTTTCTAAGTTTTTCTAGAATTAAAGTTGAATTGCGGAGGCTCTTCGAGGAAGAAGAAAGACTCCACGTGCTTCTCACTTTTGATTCTTTTTTAAACAGTCCAATAGCAAGTTGACACATGTCCATTTCTAATTGGCCTAACTTAAAAAATTCATTAAAAACTCATATGTGTGCCAAAAATTCACCGAAAATTACCCCGAACTTTTAATCACGTGTACTTTTATCTCGTGACCTCCAAATCACATGTGCTTTTGGTATTAATTTTGGTTAGATTAATTAGTATTGACTTTTGTTAGATTAATTATGCAATTGACATGGATTTTGTTCATATTTGATATGAATTTTTGTAAACTAATTGTGTCACTGACATGAATTTTGTTCATATTAATTGATATTCCATACAGACTATAATCAATTAGTAATACACGTAAAATTCTTATTTGTTTGAATTATGAATGACATTAGTATTGTTTAAATTCTAAGGGCATTTGGTTGTCTAAATTAATTTTTGAATTTTTAGCTTTTTTTTTTAACACACCACATGGATATTAGACTTAAACCTTGGACCTTGCTTGAGTCCTTTGCGAATTTTTAGCCTTTTAAATATTGCACATTCTCTGAAAAATTCCTGGATCCACCATTGCATACAACTAAGGTGCCATGAAAGTTCAAACTTGAAACCTCTTGTCGGCAAGTCAAGACCCTTTTGCACTGGGCTAGACCCTGTTCCGTTAGCTAATATTTTAACGTAAAACATATAATTGGTTCATGAGATTTAGATTTATCAATTTGGTCCCTACATTTTAAGTCATTCACAACTCTAGGACAATTATGAAACTCCATCAGTACTTAAATATGCATCATGTGATTGTTTTTCTAGTATTTGATATGCGTAAAACGCCTCTCTATATTTATTTCGTACCATAAAATGTATGACAAATTGGTTATAATCATAGTAAGAATTCCAATATCACCAACAGTTGAAGAGTCGAGGATCTAATACAAATCTTATCTTCACTCGATAAAAATATGGAAGGGACAGAGAGTTGCTACAATGTTATGGTCGCTAATTATAGTGTTATTGTATAATTATTAGTACTTTCTTGTTGTCAACAGACAAGTCTCTTCAAATATATAAGAGTTTAAAAAGGGCTAGAAACTAGGCATTCTTTGTACAATTTTGAACTAGAGTTGGGACGCAACACAACTAATGTAAATAAAATTTTGATATAAAGGATAGAATTGAACGGCCCCGATTTGTAGTATTGTCGCTTTTAGGTTTTAGTTTTCATATGTTTTTTTAGAGAGATATAGAAAATATATGAAAGAAAATAGGAGGGCGATTGAAGGGTGATAGAACGTACGTGAAAGAAATGTATATACAATTCAACATACATGTGTAATATAATGAAAACTAAAACTAAAAACTACTTGAGTTACAAGCCCCTTACTATCTCTATATAATAACATTAAAATAGCTACACTTACAAGCCTCTTACTTATCCCTGCTAGCCCCACTCAGCTCCTATGAAAAAACATGGTTCCAGTCCAGCTCACATTCCTCTACAGAAATAGACTTTCAAGCGAAGCAGATAATCTGATAACACCATGCTTTAGTTTCTTTGAATAAAAATAATCATTATGGTAAATCCTGTGTTTCCATACTACAAATATTATGTATATATGACCCAATCAATCAGTTCACGAACAAATATAAAACCCACTACAATTTAGTAGTTTGATTTAAATTGGCAATCCACTCTAATCAAAGGAACCCAAGAAAAAAGAAACTTTGGAAAATCATCATCATCCACATGCTAAAGAATTTTCAATTTTCCATGGGCCACTGAAGTCTTTGCATGCTCCAAACGACACAATGCTTTTTGAGTTCCACTCAACCCAGAACATGTTGGACTGGCTCCTAAAGTGACAGCAAAGTAAAGATAAACAGTGCAGAGGAAAGTCAGGAGTGCTAGGGCCGTTAAGAGGAAGCGGTGCCGCTGAAATAGAGTCGACCAGCTACCCAACTCATTTTGTGAGAATTGCTTTCTGAATGATGCTGACTTCCGAACAGGAGAAGACAAAATGCTGTCAAGAACCATGGTATAATATGTACTGGCCTTGCTCAGACTACCTGAAGTTTGCACACTTGAGGTCATGATAACAGGTAAGAAAGCCAAATTTTCATCATTAGGAGATGGTGTTCACAGATTCATTGATATTACAAGCAAGGTTACACAGACCGAGGACACAGTTACACGCAGAGATCAAGGGGGTACAGTTAAGGAAAACATGACCATACTAGCACGACTAATCATAACAAATTTGTCTTCAGTTATAATCAACAGTCACATTCATACTTGAAGAAGGACGTAGCAAAAAAAGTCAATACAGTGAAATTATCAAACCATTCTTTGGATGAGAGAAACGCCAACAAGAAACAAGTTTTAACAAATGCTGAAAACAAATTACTGAATTTTATGCCACAAAGACCAACTAAACAAAGGGATTAACCTACTAAATCATAAATCAAATGGTATAGTACCATTGACAGACCAACATTATTTATGTACAATCAAGGATGTCAATTGGGTGGACTAGCTGAGGCTCAGCCCAGCAAAAACAAGACTAGCCCAAAGGGTTCGAACTCAGCCCATCAGGCTTCAGGCTGAGTTCAAGCACTATTCAGGTTTGAAAGGTCGAGAAGTATGAATTTTAAAAAAATTGCACATCATGTAGCTTGAATTCACAACCTCTAGCACAAGATAAAAAAGTTCAACCATCATCCAAAGAAAAATCTTAATTAGAATGGTAAAATATAATATATGAATATAAATTCTATAAAAAGAGTATAAACCAAAATAACAAGCAACGCGTACTGATTGGAAATGCTTATGGGAGGGCTAAAACACTCTTGAAAAGTGCTTCTGGGTTCTAATAGCACTTGGTAGTGCTTTCTGGAGAAGCACCTGCCAGAAAGCATTGAATTAGTCCAAATTTTCCATAAAATAGCCTATTGGCTAGTAGCAAACTGAAACACAATGAAAGATCGTATTGGCTTCAACAAAATGATGATTTTATGCCTTAACAAAAAGAGGTTCTCCTTGAAAAACTGCAACTGCAAAATGAGAACCATACTTCTGGAAAATGTACTAGAAAGCAAGCTACAGTTCTCATGCAAATCAACATCTTGCAACGTGTAAGGCAACAAAATTTTTGCAAAAGCATACCAACTAGCACATGCACTAAAGGCAAACTTTCAAGGAAAATTACAAGTAGCAAATGACATAAATTTTACAATGAAACTTGCTTTTCTCCAACTTTACTGAAATCCTTCAAGAACCCACGGAATACATTCATAATAGCTTTTAATATGTTCTTCTTGACTAAGAATAATGCAAGAGATCAGGAAGGGCAATGCCAATTTGATTATGTACACCAGAAATGTGAACAATACAGCACACATATATCTACCAAAATAAGAAATTAAGACCTGACAAGGTCCAATGCAAGAAGATAAAAGCACCCATGCAAGCATGTCCATAAAAGTTCAAAACTTTACAGATGGATGGAAGCTTGGCATCTTAATATTTGCAAGAGCAAAACGTTTGGCTCAGAATGAAAATAGAATTAGAACTAAAACCCAAACTAAACCCTACCAAAAATAAGAACCAAGTTCTGGAAAGAATATTAACTTGAAATAATGGCTAGTTACATGAGTATGAGAATCTACTGTTCAAAGGCACCTTAACAATAATAAACTTCTGAAAAATGAAGATGCGACACTATGCAGTAAAATCAGATGGAATTGCAGGAAGAAGCATAAAAAAAAATTGTCTGCCCCATTGCATAACCAAAATTGAAGCGATTTTTAAAATCATATGTAGTCTTACCATGAGAATCAAATACTCTTTTGAAATTTTCTCCAACTATAGTTGAAATTTCTTAAGGTTTGTTTGCAACATACAAGTGAGTTCAATTCATTATAATTGTCAAAGCAGCTCCTTAGTCTATTAGTTGGCCTGCTTTCAAGCAAGAATCTAAAAGTGATTACCTAATGTTTAGCTTATTGAGTAAACAAGATAAGCTAATGTCTCTTTGTTGCACAGTGGCTGGCTGTACTGTAGTTTTTCTTTTTCTTTTTTTAATTAAAGAAATTATGTTTCAAATCAGAAAATACATATTATTATTATAATACCAATCCAATGTTGATAAGTTAAACTCAATAAGAAAGCCCAGTAACCCCACTTCAAATCCCCAAGTATACCGAGTAAGAATATATCTGATAAACAATAATTACTACACACAAATGAACATGCACTGTCAACTCAAAGAGGACCAGGAAGGTATCAACCACTGATGATGTATATGACACAAAAAAAAGGTTGTCAATCATATATATTTTAAAGGCCATTTAAAAAAAATTATATATATGTGTGTGTGTGTGTATATATATTTTGAAGGATTTCATACGAAATCAAATCCACAAATCACCAGCCCTTCATCACTACACAACCCGCTTATCATTCTTAATTTACTAGTTTTTAGTTCCATAATGATTAACATTATAACTATATCAATAATATACATTATGAGGAAAACAATGTAATGAAAAAAGGCAAATCCATCCCGGTATAAAATTAGAACTCAAATCCGTGAAAAATAGACAATGCCTAGACAAAAAGTTAAAAATAAACAAAAATATATTCATAGCAGCACCATGCACTAAAGCTCATTGTCGCCATCAAACTACACACATCACACATTTCTTGACATCAATTCAGAAAAAAATTAGCCAATTTACTGTGTTCTGTGAGATCCCAGCAGATCGTACCGCAAAACATAGAAGGTGCAGCATTATCAGTGCTCTGAAGGCGTTAGAAAAAGAATTTAAAAGCTATAACCATGGGGGCATTTATCATATCTTTTTCTTTTTTCAGTAGATTATCAATAATTCAGCTATCCTTCTCAAATGGGTTCAATCCAAATCAAGAATTGACCTTCTACCTAAGCTTTTCTCATTCTCATAGGACCTAATCCAGATCTCCTTTCCCTTTCACGTTTCCTGATGATACAATTCTAATATCTCACATGAAAAACCCCATTTCACATTTATAACCCAAATCAACCCAAATCATGTCATTCTCGTAAAACCCATATCCATAAAAACAAGAAATACAAAGAAAGTAAAAGGAAAAAAATTGAAAAACAAAACACAACATATATGAAAGCAGTAGCTCAGATCTGAAGGGAAATGAAAAAGGAAAAGATGTGGGAAACTTACAGATGAGGCAAAATTCGATTGGATCAAAAGGAGCTTGATGGGTATTCTACGTTGGGTCTTCTTCTTCCTTTTTTCTTTTCTTTTCTTTTCTTCTCGTTTCTTTTGGGGTCTGTGTCTCCTTCTTCTTCTCCTTCTTTATATGATGTTTCGGTTTGAAGTTTGGAGAAGAGATGAGGAGGAAGTGGCCGTCCGGTCCACCGTGTTTTGACCACAAATAGAATAAATAAACAAAACAGATTTGCTGATTGAGTGCGCCGGTGTCACTCGTTTTGTGTCTTTTCTACGCGCTCAAGGGCCGTTAGGCATTCGTCAGTACCTTAAACGGTGCGTTTTAGTTTGTTACCTACAAGGTCTAAAATATCAATGGTATCGGAAATCTCGGTAGTCCAAAAACATGAAAATTTTGATGGAAATATCAATAAAAATTGAATAAAAACCATGTAAATTGTAAGAAAAATTTGAAAATTTTTATTGAAATTTTAGAGGATGTTTATTTAGTCAAATATCTATTAGTTTATCACAAAAAATTAGAAGAAAATGCATTGCATGATAGGTTTAACTTATTTAAGTTGATTATATAGAGAGCTGACAAACATTATGAGTGTAGAAAATATGTAGTAATTAAGGAAAAAAGATTAAACACACCATAATCATTTATATATAATTTATCACAATATTATACATTGCATGGTAAGATATATAAGTAACTTAGTACCATATAGAGTTCTTATGAGATTCAAAATTTTCACTATCTTCCTGACCCAAAAAAACGATAATATCCTTGATATTTTGTTGATATTATCGATATTTTAGACTATGATTCTTATTACGTTCTTTGTTTAATTCAAATTTCTTATTGATTTAATCTATCTTATCGCATTTATTTTATTGTCATTTAGTTTCTTTCATTCATCATAATCATTGCACTTATCATAAAAATGCTAAAAACACACCTACAAAACCTAACCTTCTCAACCCTGAGGAAGTGAAAGAACATAGGCCAAGAAAAGGTCCCTGATTTGGCCAATCAATCATTGATTAAAAGTTAGAAGCGCAAACACATCCATTCAATCTTTTCTATCTGAGCCATTAATATACTACAATAACAAATATAGTCATAGCATCGATACAAAATTTGAAGTCCAATTCAAAAACATGAAAAATACTAAGCGGCAATCACTTAAACTAAACATATAACTTCTAGAGTTTATACCAAATAAAACATAAAACGACACTAGTAGAAAAAGCCCTAATTATTCTATGAAGTATGTGGAATATGTGTAGAATGAGTATATCTTCATATAAAATATAGGGAGTTTCACTAAAACACCCAAAATGAGGGTTGAAATTATAAAAAAACTCAAGCACTATTTAAACATATAAACACACCCAAAACTCATCATTACACACACTCAAAACCCATTTATAAACACACCCAAAAAGTTGACTTTGGGGTTGATTTTGGGTGTGTTTCTATGTTTAAATAGTGCTTGGGTTTTTTTATAAATACATATCTAGGATTGGGTTTATTTATAAATTTGTATAAAATATATTAGAATGTGGCCTAGAAATCGAGTTGGGTTCAGACGGTTAAAGCCTCAAATTGACCCATAAAATGATTAAGTTGAGTTCGAGCACGTCTTCATTAGGGGTTGACATTTGAACCAGTGAACCGAGTCGGAAAAAAAAAAAGCCATGTTGACAAAAAAGTAATTTAGCTTAAAAACTAAATCAGACCGTTATGGATTGGTTCTCATCCCGATTCTTCCCTTGGACAAAAACATTCTAAACTAAATCGAACCGGTTATGTTAAATTTACATACTTATTTATATCCAAATTTATTAGGAAGCCTAAATAATACTATTAATATCCAAATGCTTTATTCCCAATTTATACCTAGCTAAATAACAATTATAGCCATACTTCTTTTTCTTTTTGGTGAACTATAACCGTTCTTCTTGTTGCACCTCTGTCTTTCTCTCTTTTCCACCTCTTTCTTTTCCCTCTCTCTTCCTCTTCATCTCTTTCTCTTTTCTTTCTCTTTCTTGTTTCTTCACCTCTTCGTCTTTTTCTCTTCTTCCAAATCAAAAACCAACCAAATCGAACCAAAACCGTATAGCACCAGCCATTAGCCCTCCAAAACGAATTGTGTAAGTTTTGGGGAGGCTCCAAACCCGTGCGACACTTTGTATGAAAATCTGACTAAACTCGTATGTAACTTTCAGTTTTTACTCCAATTAAAGGGATAAATCAGAATGAACCGAACTATGCTCACCCTTATTGTTCACCTAATTCTAACTTGTCAAATTGGGTTAATGATTAAGTTAAGTTTGGGATGATCCAAGTTGCACTCGTAGATGAGAGTGTTTATTTTGAATTGATAAAGTTGCTTAAGGAGAAAGTAAGGGCCCGTTCGGTAATGTTTTTAGAGCTTGTTTTCTGTTTTTGTTTCCTGTTTTTCACAAAAAACACGTTCGGTGCATCGTTTTCGTTTTCCCTCACAAAACGTTTTCTGAAAACAAATCTGACTTTGTGAACAAAACAGAGGAAGAAGAAGAAAAAAAAACAGAGACAAGAAGAAGAACCACCACATACCCAACTCAACCACCATCATCACCCAATCAAACCATCACAGCCATGGAAGGAAGGAGGAGTGGGTGTGGCCTGGGAAGGAAAGGAAGAAGAAAAGAGGAAGAAAAGGAGAAAAAAGAAACGGCCTGGGGAAGGAAAGGAAGAAGAAAAGGGGAAGAAAGTAGGAAAGAGGAAGAAAAAGAGAAAAAAGAAGCAGCCATGTGAAGGAAAAGAAGAAGAAAAAAGGAGGAAAGAGAGAAAAGGAGAAAAAGAAGAAAAAGAAAAAAAGGAAAAAAAGGAGATAAGGTAGTTTTTGAGCTTAATTTTTTGTCATTGTTTACAATAATTTTAGCCTCTAAAAATATCAGAATTAAAAAAAATTAGAACTAAAATTAGCAAAAATACACCTGAAAAACAATTGTACTACCAGACACGTTTTCATTGTTTTTGTTTTCTAAAGATGTTTTCTAATTAATCTACCAGACGCATTTTCATTTCCTGAAAATGCAAATTTGTTTTCTTGTTTTCATTCTCTGAAAATATTCTCAGAAAACATTCTCCGAAAACGTTACCAGACGGGCCCTAAACTCCCGACCCCACCCATGGTGTTTTGTGGAAATATCTGAGAAGAAAACCCGACCCGACCAACGTGTCGACTCAGTTGGACTTGAGACAAGGTCCAATAAAACCGTGGAAAATTCGAATCCGAACCTAAAAGCAAAAGTCTTTGTAGCTTTTATTAGGCTCTTAATCTATCTTCGCTCTGTTGATCTTTGCTCTCCAATTTCCAGAAGGTAGTCGATCTTAATTCTTTACTATTAGAATTGTATGATCAAATTTCAGGAACAATTAATATGTATTTCATTAATTACATCATGGGTTTTGTATAAGTTTCTTTCAATCTGATCGAATTTCTCATTTTGTTTATGTTGTTTCTAGGGTTCTAGTTGTTTTGCAATATAGGTTTATAATTTCTTTGTTGAATTATTGAATTGAGCTGCAATCTCAAATAGGGCTTTGAATAAAGCTCAAGACCTGAAACTTATTTAAAATTTTCGTATTTAGTTGAAAATTCCATCAGGGTTTTGTATTTCATATGATAAAGTCTTGAATTTTTTTTTTTGGGGGATTAATTTGCTTATTAAAGAGTTATCTGTGGGTGAGGCGTGAAAGAAGAAGATGTGGGCAGCTTCCTGCCTGGCGTCGTGCTGCGCTGCTTGCGCCTGTGATGCGTGTCGGACGGTGGTGTCGAGTATCAGCCGCCGGTCTGCAAGGATTGCATACTGTGGGCTCTTCGCGCTTTCTCTGATCGTCTCATGGATTCTCCGTGAGGTCGCAGCTCCCCTCTTGGAAAAGATTCCTTGTAAGCCACCTCTTTCATCATTCCAAATATTAGGCTGTGGTGTTATGATGTACTTGCTGTGCTCTGTACAGATGTTTTGAATGTTTGGTAATGCTTTATAAGAAACTCATTATAACATAATGTCTTTAAATGGGTGAAATTTTTTTGATTTCCCATGGAAGTTTGACTACAACTAGAGGATTGTTTGGTTCTTGGGTTTAGTGGTATGTGGTCTTGCATATGACACTGATCTCAGATTGGTTATTGATGCAGGGATTACTCAGTTTAATCAGACACATAACAGGGAGTGGTTCGAAACAGATGCAGTGCTTCGTGTTAGCTTGGGAAATTTTCTCTTCTTCACCATTTTAGCTGTTATGATGGTTGGCGTGAAAAGCCAGAAGGATCCCCGTGATAGTTTGCACCATGGTGGATGGATGATGAAAATTATTTCCTGGTGCCTTTTAGTGATCTTCATGTTTTTCATACCAAATGAGATTGTTAGCTTCTATGGTAAGCACTATATTCTCAGGGAATTTTTTTTCGTAGTGCATAAAATTTTCGCTGTTTTCTTGTTTCAAAAGTCCCAAGATGAATTCCAGTCTCTGGGCTTGATGAACACATTGCAGTTTTACATTTAAGAAAAAAAATCAGATGCTAAACTTCAGTACATTTATTGACCTTTCTTGACCCAGTTACTGCTAATCTCTGCCCACAGAGTCCAATCATCTGTTTATTTCTTAAATTTTGAACAGACAAGAAGTGTCATGATTGCGCTTTCTTTTCAAAGAAAATATACTTAGTATATCTCATGTTGTCACATCTGAATAGTATTGCATACATGCAACATGATTTTTTTTTTTTTTTTTAACATCAATAATACTCTTATTGATTTAGCACTTATTGCAATCAAAACAGTATATCATACTGTTGTAAGTTCAGTTTATTATGTTATCATAATAGAAAACCTATATGTCTGTAACAACTAGTATGTCCTTGTCATCTGCGTATTTCCATTTCTTTCTGTGAGTCCTTCGTGTACTTGAGCGGAGTGATAATAGTGGTGATTTTCTGCTTTAGTGTAATCTTAGATTATTCACTCATCTTTTTATGTTTTCCATATTATTTTTTGACTCCTGAAAATTTTCTATTGCTAAATCAAAATAGGCTTTACAAATTGGAGAACTTGCTTATGGGCTTACATATGTTGAACCTAGAGAATAGTAGCTAGATTAGCACTCCAACATTGTTCTACATCTATCTGTGAATTATGATTCGTTTTTGGGTTCTCTCTCTCTCTCTCTCTCTCTCTCTCTATATATATATATATATATATATATATATTTTGCTCTTGATTTTTTTAGTGAATTAAAATGTACCTTGGTTAGAGTATCCTGATGCTATAAAATAAAAGGTTTGTGGTCATGATTTGTCATGCAAGGAAACTGAGAAGATTGGATTAATAGTTGAGTCTCTTCTGTTAATTTCAGAATTTAGGTTCTTCTGTTAATTACATTTTTGGAAACTCTTTTCATTTGTGTGACTAAAATTGACAGTTAAATATCGTGTTTGCAGAGACAATTTCAAAGTTTGGCTCAGGATTTTTTCTCCTTGTACAAGTTGTACTTTTGTTGGATTTTGTTCATGGGTGGAATGACAAATGGGTTGGATATGATGAGCAGTTCTGGTTAGTTTATTATTTCCTCAAGTATCTACTATTTATTTTCAACATTTCTACATTCTTATATTGATTTTAACTTGAATCTTCATCGTTTATATAGGTACATTGCACTTTTTGTTGTTTCTCTTGTTTGTTATCTGGCAACCTTCGTCTTCTCTGGACTTCTTTTCCATTGGTTTACGCCATCTGGACATGACTGTGGGCTCAACACCTTCTTTATTGTCACAACTCTGATCTGTGTGTTCCTTTTTCTCATAGTCGCTCTGCATCCTGCTGTAAGTTTGTAAATTTCATGGTTCTTTCTTTATAGCTAATTATAATCAGTTACCAAAAAAGGAAAAGAAAAAAAATAACACCATAATTGTATCACTCATGTTTGCAAAGATACAACTAGAAGAAATAAAAAATGAAGAGGGATAATACAAGTTGTATGAGGCTGATATTGGTGATTATAATTCAAGGGATTGTTGCCTTATCTTTTACTGCTTCTACGAGGGCAGAGAGACTAGCTATAGATTCAGTGATACACCAGAGTTGCAGAACACACAGAGGAAAAAAAATTAGCCCTTGTTTTATTTATTTTCTTTTTTGGCAACGACAAAGAAAGAGGCAAACAAGGAAGAGAGGGAGGAATTTGGAGGAAACCATGTTCTATTTCCATGGGACATTGCAAAGTCTGACTAGTTAAAACTCAAAATGATATATTAAATTGGGATTACATCGATTCATGCTTTGTATAGATGAGTTAACTGTCTTCTTGGGCTAAACCAGAAGTATATCACTCTCCAGATTATGGTCATCTGTTATAAGGCAATGCAGGTGATGAGTGAGGTTTTCATAAACTTGGTTCAGTCTACTATTTGTCTCTGTATTCTGTTGAGAGCAGCATATGTATTCAATACTAAATCTAGATTCTAGAACTGTAATTCCACTTAGCTTAAAAGAGTCTATATGTTGCTTAGCTTCTTGGTTGCACATATTTTGTATTGGTATGGTTCTTTTTACATTTATACTCTGATGTTATCGTGTGTAGCCATGGTATGTTGATTTGTGCAGATTCATTCGTAATAATTCAGTATTATGATTTCTGTAATAATTCAGTATTATGATTTCTTAGTTATGATTTTTATGTTATACAGGTAAATGGCAGCATTTTGCCAGCGTCAGTTATATCAATGTATTGCACATACCTTTGCTACAGTGCACTTGCCAGTGAACCAAGGGAATATGAGTGTAATGGTCTTCACAAACATTCCAAAGCTGTTTCCACTGGGACCCTTACCCTTGGTTTGCTAACCACTGTTCTTTCTGTGGTTTATTCTGCTGTTCGTGCTGGATCTTCTACGACTCTTCTCTCCCCACCAAGTTCTCCTCGTGCAGGTAATTCTTGGCAGAACCTTTAAAACTATTGTTTCAACATATGCAATTTGTCTATACTAACCGAGAAAAATGTGCTTAAACTGTCTTACAATTATTTTGTTTTTGGTTTTTGTTTCTTGAACAATTGTATTTGATGTTTGGTTACATGAGAAAATTTTGAAGGCAAAAATATTAACATTGATAGGCTATCTAGTTTTGCTATAATACTAATATTCCTTTTTTTTGTTTTTTTGTTTGGTTGTAAATTTCTTGCCTGGTGAAGGTGCTGGAAAGCCTCTGCTTCCATTAGACAAGGCAGACGAACATGAAGAAAAAGAGAAGGCAAAGCCAGTATCATATTCATATTCGTTTTTCCACATCATCTTCTCTCTTGCTAGTATGTACTCGGCAATGCTTCTGACAGGATGGACAACCTCAGTTGGGGAGAGCGGGAAGTTGGTTGACGTGGGGTGGCCATCTGTGTGGGTGCGGATTGTGACTAGTTGGGCAACTGCAGGTCTGTTCATTTGGTCTCTTTTGGCTCCTATTCTGTTCCCCGAGAGGGAATTCTGAACCCTGCCACCACCAAACTAGAGATAAAGGGTTTGCTCATCAGTGTCTCAAGTATATTTATTTATTGTGTGTATGCATCTTCTATTGTACTTAAAATACTATCCACTGTGTAAATAGAATGGTGTGTGTTGACTTTTGGAATAACCAATTGTGCTTGTTAAACTACATGTTAATGAGCAAAACAATATTATCAGTGATTTCCCCCAAAGTTTCTTTAATGGATTTGATCTTTTTTCAATACTTGGCTTACCACTTGAGCTAGCCCTTGAGGTTCTTCCATGCACCATCTAGGTATGGATAAGGAAATGTCAAGCCTGGTTTTGGTTCTAGCTTTTGTTCCATTTCTTTTTACGCGGCCTTGTTCTCTTTCATCAGCAATTCTAACTGTATAGTGTGAAGATTGTGAAAACAAGCAAAGCCTAGAAGATTTCGATGCAAATGAAAGGATTTCTCCACTCCAGTTCTCATGGTTTCTACGTTTGCAATTCCTAGGGAACTAAAACATATTTATCTTTGGTGAAGAATAACCATTAACCAACACCATTTTAGACAGGTCTCTAATTCTTTTTCCTTAAAAGGATCAAGCAATTCAAAATGTCGCAACCGTCATTTAGATTTGGCGTTACCGATTTGGTTGATTCATGGAGGTTAAATTGATATAATGTTTAATTTTGGACCTGTTTGAAAACCATTTTAGTTTTCATTTTTTCAGTTTTTAGTTTTCAGTTTTGATTTGTATAAAACTGAAAACAGTTTTTATTTTATTTTTATAAAGTCCAATTTGGGAAGGGGGCAAACCGAGCCTTGGGACCTTGAAAATAATAAACTTGTTTAGTAACTCTTTTTTAATTTCAAATAAAAAAAAATTAAGAATTGTTTAAAAGTTGTTTGGTAACAATTTTCAGTCTTATGTTTAACTTGGAAATTAAATTTTTATCGGAGGTCATAGAATGAAAATGCATGTTACAAAAAATCTCTTAACATTTTTCAGAGTTTAGGATGAATTTTGGTTCTAAAAGTCCCAAGGCTCGATTTGGGCATGCAGTCGAGCTGTCTGTTCCAAGTCAGGACGTCCCAAATACCGAATTTTAGGACTAAATTGAAATGTATGTGTAGTAATGTAAAATTGGTAAATGAGAAAGGAGGGTAAAAAAATCTTAAGACAGTTTATTATTTAAAAAAAATATGAATGATTTTGAAAATTACTTCTTTAAAAAAATAAAAAATGGAAACTGTTATATAACATGTCTATAGTTTTCACTGAACTGGTTATCAAACAGACCCTCAGTGAAATAATTAAAAAATTTACGTCCCCAAAGTAGATTTAAATTGAAATAAATTTCGTACAGTGTAGGAACAATATCAAAAATCGATGACAGAATAAGGATGACAATTCTCTGATAATAATAAATAAATAAAGATGACAAGATGTAACATTTAAAAAACATAAGTTAAAATAGAGACCTATAATATTAAAAGAAAAATAAGTTAAATAAATTCTGTGTTTATTGAACCCCTATTGTTCTTGAGATGCAGACGAAATATATTTTTTCGAAGGAAAAAGAAACTCAACCTTTCCTTTGTCAACATACTGTTCTCTCACAAGAAATAAACCTCAGCAAAAGATGTTCTATTTAAAAATTCCATCTGGCAAAAACAATTACTATTAATTAAATTCATTATCTGGGGACATAAGCTGCTCCAAACACTACACGCACTACCTGAGTAAAGATGCTGCAAGTGTCAAGGATGCGGATTCAAAAGAATAAAACTATGAATCCAATGGGGGTAAGCATAACTGGGTGTTTAGGACAATCATTCAATCCTCAAAATCTCCAGCATTCTCCAATAAGTAGTTTGCTGCCAATTCTTCATTGCGATCGCATGCTAAAAATGCCTCGATGACCAAAGCCCTATCAAATCCCATTGCTTCGAGCTATAGAAAATACCAAACTAATCAGTGGATGTAAAAATATTACATGCAACAGTTCTCAGGAACAGAAAGAACACATACTCGTCCAATCTTGATAATAATAAAAAATACATACTCGTTCAATCTTGATAATAAAAAAATAAACACTCGTTCAATCTTGATAAATAAAAAATACATACTCGTTCAATGGCCTCCTGCTCAGCCGGGGTTACGTTGATGGCATGAGGCATATCTTGGTCAGGGCCGTCAGGCTGATCAAATATGTCACTGGAAGATGGAGTACTTTTATAAGAAAGGCAAGTCATGATTTTGACAATTTCTATGCATGAATTAATTCGGTCTTTTTTATGACACTTACCCTTCAGACCCCTCAAGAGGTTCATTTATTAACTGAAGGAACTCAGTGTGGTGTTCCTGAATTAATCTTAAAAGCTGGGGGTTTTGCTTTCCAAGCTCCTGCAGCATGGGCTGTAACGAAAGCAGCACAAAGCAACTGTGAGACATTTAAAAGAAACCATCACAATTTTTAATCTAAGACATAAAGCAAATGCAAACCTGTAAAATTTGTGGATTTGCTTGCACCATTGAGCGCAACGCTTGGAACTATAACGAAAACAGACATTAAGTAGAGCACACCTTACATAGTCAACAAATGAATAAAACATGCAAACTAAATCAAACATGATCTCCAACATTTACTATTCATTAGAAGCACGTAATAGTGCTTTTGTACGACTATATGACATAGTTTAGCCAAACATGGCTTGCTACAAAGAGAATGATATCCACTTTTGGTTGCTTCTACAACATTATTTCTTCCCAGAAAATACAAGAATGAAATAAAAATGTAAAAATAAGTGAGATGATAAAAATGTATTAAAACTCGTATACTATCTCCACTCAACACATGCGCCATCTACCCTGTTTCCAACACCAATATTATAAAAACGTCAACAAGTTCAATCGTGTTGATTTGCTGATTTATAGAATCCAATATACAGAATATACATCTTAGTTGGAAATATTATAACAGGAAGCTTACCTGGCGATTATTCCTGAGGAAGGCGAGGGATCCAAGTGCACCAGCACCAGCACCAGAGAGTGTTTCCTGGAGGACTCCAGCTTAGATACCCAGCTAAGTAAATGTAAAGGGAACATATCCAACAATCCTACATTTTACCTGAGGAAACATATTCAAAGGAGCAGAGTTAGGTGCTCCAGAGACAGGTGCAGCATTGGCTGGCCCTGTTTCAGTTGCCTGGCTTGCCGGGAAATGTCCTACCGGCACTGCAACTTCTGCTGTTTCTGGAATACTCTGAAGAACACTATGTCAGCGGCTAAATAAAGATCAATATAACAGCAACAAGTTTAAGAAATCTAGACATACAGAGTACAAGTAGTCGACTGCTCTCTCTGGATTGTTATATGCCGCTCGAAGTGCACGTGTAACTGTTTCTCTGTCCCAGTTTCCACCGCCCATATCCATTATTTGTTGAATAGTCTGCTCAAGATTAGTACCAGCAAGTAAAGTTGAAGCAGCTTGACCATAGGTATCAGTATGCACACTGCAGTTGAAACAGAGGGACTTAAAATCATCATGGTCTATGCCAATCGAAGTTAAAACAATGCAAGGGGAACCCAACAAATTTTTTTTTTTTTTTAATATAAAAAAAATAAACACTGTTCTTTTAAAATACATTAAAGAAAACAAATTAAAAAGAGGACTATAAGAACAGTTTCCGGATTACCCTAAAAAAATTCTGATTCATACCACACAAGAATATATTATAAGCATGCCTAAACTAAACCAGCAGCATGCCAACATGGATAATACATTCGCTACATCACTGGATATTCACATTGAGCAGCCCATCCTAGCTACATCTACATTAATTAATAATATCTGATTGTGTACATAGAATTTGTTTAAGCAAGGCAAAAGTTAACAAACAACCTGGTAAACAAACTTAACTAAGTTCAGGAGCTTGACTTCAAGGCTCAAGTCACATGTACCAAGATGGTTTTGAAAAACTTTGTATTGACAGTTAGAATCCAATTTCAACCGTAATATCTGATTACACACCACCATTGCAAACTGCAATCTAAAAATTAATTTTATACACAGTGATTGTGCATGCTTTCTGTTTGATAAATAAATTAACTTAATTAAAAGGCGCCGGTGGGCACAAACCAGGTATACAAGAAGTATACAAGGCTAAAATCGTAAAGAAACAATGAAGGCCACGAGAGGGAAAAGGAAAAGACAACTCTAGTCATCCACGTGAAGGTGTCAAAAAAATTAGCCTTCAACTCAAACAGAGGATTCCAGCCTTCAAAAGATGCTTAGTAAAATTCATTTCAATCACCGTACTTGATTCCTCAGTAACAACTGCAACTTAATGCAACAACCTAAGGTAATTCAACTCTCAACTGTTGTACAAGTATCTTCATGCCCTAGCAATAGATTGTTAAATATAATCTCAGGATAAAGAATCATACTTTGCAGTGTCGGAAGCAGATATGGTACTCTGTACGGGTCTGCGGCAGCACAAAAAGTAAAGGTTTGTTAAAGAGAACTAATTTAATCTGAACACAAGTTCAAAAGGCTCCTTGTCATGTAAACTCACGGTGGTTGTGCAGGAGCTTCAGGTCTAGTTGTAGAATTTGTGGTTGGTGGAGTTGCAGGAGGATTTGTGGAAGTAGGCTGCGATGCAGAGATACAAGAATTAGCTTAAACATTAAAATACAACCAGGAAAAAAAAAGGGCCCAGAAAACAATAAATGATTGATAATAATACCTGAGCGGATGAAGCCCCTGCTAAGCCTGAAGTTTTACTCTGAAAATTGGCAGAAAGAAAATGAGACAAAAATGGTAGGGATGAGGGCTTATGCGGATTGCAGACAAAGCAGACAATAAACAAGTTTCTAAAGTCGTCTGCCAATCTTGGTTAAACTTTAGAATACAGATAACTTGTGGTAAAGCAAACATGTACCATTGAACATAAACCATTAGCAAATTAAACTTCCAGAACTACCCAAATCAATTAGCAAAGTACAAGGAGATGAGAACACATACCATTGAACAGACATATGTCTTTACAAAATAATTCATGCTCCAGAATGGATATTACATTTTTTAGATTATATATCTTTACAAAATATCATTTGTGCAAGTCAATGAATAAAAGAACAAATGAAAATCTGATTGCATGTCAACTAAACAATATATAGTGATTCAAAACAACTTAATCAGGAACACAGCTAATATATAGTATCACAATAAAAAATATTATATACCATCAGAAAATAGGCATTCTTGCTTCATTAGAAAAAAGCGTGTTTTTTTTTTCCCAGCGTAACAGCAGAAATAATTAATGTATCCCAAGTTTCTAAAAGACGATAAACAGTATACACAACCTAGACTGTTAATCATAGTTAGTAAATTTGCAATAATATGCACATTATGCACATATGTATTTTTTAAAGTACTTCCATCTCCAGTACACTTCCTAATTATAGAAGACATGTTTCTCAAAAACCCAATGTATTATATGGGTAATATACACATGCATATGTATTTTCACATTTAATACATGTATTATCACATATGTTTCAATAATATAGTACAACTTACATATTATACATGTATTTTTCACGTATTACTATAAAAAATACTAAATTAGAACTTACATATTTTTAACGTATTTATTATACGAGTAACTTACATATTTCATTCATATGTTTCCTATCCAATATTTTATTAATTATCCCCTAATTCAATATCTATTTTCCTTTTAGTAATATTACTAGCATAAAATCTGATTCAGTTTTAAAGGCTTCTCTCATCGTTACTGAATTGTAGTTTTTTTTTATTTTTTCCGCTTTCTCTCTCTCTAGCCTCTATCTCTCCCTCTCATGCTCACACATACACAGAGACTTATCCTTCTAATATCAATCAAATGAGTGTTAGCTTTTTTTGAAGATTATATCACATTTTATTGAGTAAAAAATAGGGCCTTAATGTACCTCACTTTAGAACAAACGCCAAGTAAATTCTTTGTTAGCCACGCATTCACGGAAGCTCCATTAATTCTTAATGTTGTAAACTCTTGCACTCCATATAATGACAATTACCTTGACATATTACTCAAAATGCCACCGTATTACTTCCAAAGCCAAAATTATCAGGCTCAAATCCTCAACATTGTTAGACTAATATCTGATTTGATTAAATCATAAACTATAAAAACTAATGAAACTTGTCCTCTTCCCAAAATAGAGGTGTGGAAGCATGTGTATCTTGCCGCATTTATTAATTATCCCTTTCCATACGAATGTTTAACCATTACTCCCATATAGGTAGTGGATAACTATTAATGTACAGAAGCCAAAAATACTGTACAAAAGTCGTGGCCTAACTTATAGTATACACGTTTTTGGCAGAAAAGTTCTGCATTACCATTACCTACTGTTTTTATATGTTTCATTAGATTGAAAGTAAGGCCAATCATGATGAGATAAAACACATATGTCCAAACTAGCAATATCTCTATAATTACTGATTTCTAGTACAAAAAATTGCCAAACAGCACATAATAAGAAACTTCTTTACTAATCTTAGAACCAAGAGCAAAGTATCCAAAAGTGAAGAACTGAAATCATATAATTGATTAAAAAATCAATAAATAAAAAGTGGCTGCCATATTTGAATAAGAGCAACTTTGAATATAATTAGCACATTGCCTTTGGATTTAAGAGAAATATACCTTGCTAAGCATGACAACAAGAAAACCATCTTCTGTGACCTTGTTGTCAGCCAATGTAGTTTCATCTTTCAAGACCTTCCCATTGTGAATCAATAACTGCTGCCCACATGGATAATTATCTTTTCCTTGTACATCTTCAATGTTCTTCTTCACAGCCATAACCTTATATTCAAAGTAATAAATGTACATTATAAATATATTAAATTTCAATGCAGCTAATTACATCAAACTTCTATACAACAACCACTTTGTATTAAAGTTATTCTTTTATGCAATTATATTCATGCAATATGTAAGTAAATGTGCATATAAATAAAATAAAATAAAATATAGATATATTTAAGCAAAATTAACGACATTTCAATTATTGTGGTGCCCAAAAACGAAAGAAAAAGTTTCAAAAATCTGAATTTTCATTATGTTTTTTCTTTCCTTGTTTTCTGCCTAGCTATACAGACTGAATAGGAGGAAAAAAAATTCAAAATTCAAAAAAAATAAAAAGGAGATGAAGAAAGATGCTCACGGTGTCAGTGGGCTGAACCCTAATTTCGAAATGGCTGCCTTTGAGGGTCTTTACAGTGAGCTTCATCTCGGCGAATTGGAAAGTCCAGAAACGACAGCGTCTGGATTGGCGAGAGAGAGAGAAAAAAAAAACCCTAGAAAAGCAAAAGGCCGAAGCCTCAACGAGAAGGGAACCGAGTACAGGGAACGAGTAGGCACTATATCAGTCTTTCATTTCCTTGGTAATAAATAGTGGACTGCACGAGTAGCGCACGTGACTTAAATGGAAATTGTGCATGTGGTGTTTTGTGGCTACTAGTTTGGAATTGAAGTGAATATAAGAGCTCGTCATGAAGAGAAGCACGTGGGATTAGGGATGGCAATGGGTCGAATTGGAGGTGGGTATGTCATTCCTTTTCTTATTCTTGTTAAGCTTTTTTCTCCCCATCCCCGCCTTCATACCCGCAATATTCATATTGGGGATTCCCCATCACCACCTTCGTTCGAGAATGGGTTCCCCAACCCGCCCCGTTACGGAAGAAAAAACTAATATAAAACTACTTTGTTGAAAGGAAAAAAAAAAAAAAGATTAGGGCAAGATAATGAATATATATGTAGAAGACAATATAAAAATGTTTACATATTGACTAGAACTTAACTAAATATATAAGTAGGGTGTCTTAAGATTTATATAAATTATATGAATATATAATATAAAATTTTGTCGGCACAATCACTTTAATATCATATTTATATATATATATTCTAAACTAGGAGGGTTCTGGTCAGGGATTAAAATATCATCCACGCCCCTCCCCGAATACCATACCCATAAAATTCCCTGTACCCATCCCCATACTCATTTTTTATCCTTCATACCCGACCTATTAAGGTCGAATCCCCACGAAGACCCTTACCTAAGAGGAAAATTGTCATCCCTACATGGGATGTGCTTCTCTATAATGATCACCTTAATTATAAGAGCCTCTCCAATAGTAGTAGCAAATAAAACTCTTCAAATTGAAGTTTGTCGACTTACGTGGCAATTTGAAAAGCCTTATTTGCTACTTGAATAATTTTTGCTCCAACAGACTCTTCAATTCAATTAATGCAATATCATGGAAAATAATGAAAAAATATGAAAAATGTCTATGTATTTATTATATGAAAAAAAAAATACATTTTTTTAACATTTCCAAGGTAGGTTTTGTTTTTCCAAAGTAAAATTAAATGTTTGAAGAGCCAAAGTTAACTTACTAGCCATGAAGAGAGAGAAAAAGGTTGCAGCTTTGCTGATTGAGATTAAAAAGGCTGTTGGAGAGGGTTTTTGTGATGTAACTCACCTATTTTAGAACTCCAAAGTTGTTGAAGAGGTTGTTGAAGATGCTCTAAGTAATTTTATGTGATAAATGGACTCGTTTGAGAGTGATTCTAGATAAGGCCAGAATTCCTTTTCCGGCTTCTTCATAAAATCACTTAAATTGCACAACCTATTAGTAAAAAAAAAATATTCAATTGATATATTCCTCTCTTCAATACTATATATGATACAGTATATATAATAAAAAAATTATTTTCATATAATTCTAACTATTTACTTATAATATAAATAATATTATTCTAAGCATTGTTGGTTTAATTTAGTAAGTTATTTTGGGGTTATTATAAAAGTATGAGGATACTTTTGGTATAAAATTTGGATTACTAATGGCCCATGATTACCAACAATCACAATACTGCCCAAATTATAGAGTTCAATTCCTGAAAAATGAGGTGTGATTGTTGTTTTTATGCATGCACCATGCTTAATATGATTTCCTAAGTGTTAATAAACAGTGGAATGACCTTGAATAGAAAGTAACTCTCATTTCATATTAGTAAACACGTCATTGTTGTGGATAAGAATCATGTTGGCAAAATACTCGATTTGTTAGCCAAGGTAATATTTTTATTTCTCAAATAATTGAACTCTTCATAAGTCTTTAACTTTTTTAATAACATAACATCATATTTGATTTCAAAGTAGTTATTAAGGCAATTTGTACCAAATTATATCCATTTGAAATCATAATAATATTGAGTGCTTAACTTGAGCTACACGCTTTTAGTTAATCATTGATTAAGGATTTCATGGCACTTTATATTGTTCAAGAAATCGATTTAGGCGATGTACTTGAGATATTTCATAAGCTTATTGAAGGATTTCCTTATAGCATGCGGTCTTGATTAATATAAATTGACTATACATGCTATGAATTGCACATCAAAAGAATAACTATATCTCATATGAATGTGGCTGCATGTTGGGATACCATAATCATATCTCTACCGAAAAACCTTACTCCATATTAGTGATTTTATGTCACTTAATTATAAACACTAATTCATAACATTCAAGTTTAGAATTTGGTGTAGAGCTATAGTTCAATATCTCTCGCTTCTTATAATGTTAGGGAAATAGCTCAAAATGCCACATATTTTATAATTTTTTTGTGAAAATACCACCCCTCCCCTAAAATTTTAAAACTATCACCTATAAATAAATTTTAATTGTTCACTGATCGCACAAATATCACTTTTTTCAGAAATTTTGGTCTATCTCACCTCTCTTGTTCTCTCTCTGGCACAGCTATATGTCTTTCTCTTTGCGCTGCGCTCTCTCTCTCTCTCTCTCTCTCTCTCTCTCTCTCTCTCTCTCTCTCTCTCTCTCTCTCTCTCGCACAGCTCTGTCTTGCTCTTTCTTTTGAATCGCGAACCCCTTCCCTCGACCCCGTATTGGAGGTATGTCTTCTGAATAGGTGCTTGCAACCTTGAAGCTCTACTAGATCGGTGACCTTGAAAAGGTAGGGTTGATGATTATTTTCTTAATATATGTGGAATTATGTGAAATAGGTTTTGTTTGATTGCTTGGGATTATGTTAAATTGGTTTTGGGTTTAATTGCTTTCAGTTAGGTTTTTTGAATCTTCATGCTCATCCATCTGGGTTTGACCAATTGCATTTAGATTGATATGGATATGTAAATCTGGAAACTTGGGATTTTCCATCTGATGTAGTGGATGTTATTGTGTTCATGTTATTTTGCAGTCGTATTGTTGTTACATTGCTGTTATATTGTGGTTATATTGCCTTTATATTGCTGTTGTATTGCCTTCTTACTGCCTAGTTATTGTGGTTGTACTATGGTACTGAAATGTCATTTTTTCATGGTCAGAAATGGAGACAATTGTTATTCTGGTTTGTTACAATGAAAAATGGGTAACCTCAAAGAAGATGTGCAAATATGAATGGGGTGACTCAAAAGGCTTAATAGTTCCACGGACCATCACATTTGCTGAACTGTTGGATCATGTGCATCAGATTGGTAATACAAATTTGGTATTTTCCCAAATTTCCAATTTTATATGCAGTTGCTTTGTATTTGTTTTTCGGCCGTATCACGTTTCTATATTTTCATTGTTCTTCAGATTTTGTCATTTTCAATCTTTATGTGATTTGAGTATATTTGAAAATTGGGCATTTCCCAGTAAGGTAATTTTCCAATTTTCCAATTTGGCAATTTCGTTTTCTATGTTTTTAAAATTTCCAAAAATTGCTTAGTTACATAATTTATTTTTGGCCTGAAATCCAATTTTATTGCTATTATTGTAATGCTCTAATGCTCTAAATTACAGCCAAGGAGTAAATGGTGTACATTTCAATCCAATCAATTTAATGCACCAACTACATACCCAACTTCGTCATATATAGACATGCAACTAACTCCTTGAACACAATATAAAATAGACAAGTTCCTATACATAATTGAAGCATAGGTAGCTTCTTAATATGAGGTTTGGGAAATGTCATTATTCTGCACTTACTCAAAGACAAATATTCTCCAGTAAAGCTGACCATATTTTTGTTTACAAGTTTTCAATAAATACAATTATGAGACTGAATGTACCTTTGAATTTTTTTTTTTTGCAGACTGCAGTTGTCAATTGTCCCCAGCAATAGTTAAAAATGTCGGACGTACTGCCTCCAAACGAAGATGTCAATTACCCGGGAGACCAACCGTGGCATGTGCCGTTCCCATCTCCGCCTCTTACTCTAATTGCCACCCTATTGCGTGTATCCTAGCGATAGTTATTGCTACCCTATTGCGATTATATTGCCTTCATATTTCCACTAGATTGTCTATATATTGCCCAAATATTGTGGTTCTATTGTATGTATATTGACTAGGGCTCGTCATTGGGTTTAAAGTTTATGGCATACTTTATTCGAAAACAAGAAGAAGAGGAGAAAGGAACAACGTGCCTTTCAAAAAGAGGCACTTAGCTGCATCATAATTACACTGTAAGACATTGTAAGAAATAATTATTAAAAATTATTTAGAAAAAAAGGAAGGTATGAATAAATATGCAAATGCTTGGTGATGGGTTGAAGAAAAGCATGATTGTATTTGGTTGTATGATTATGTTTGGTGATATGATATGTTGTTCGGCTTAATCTTCATATATGTAATTGTTGTATTAATAAAGACACAAATTAATCTTGTAATCATCCTATTATTAGCTAGTAATGGGTCAAGATGAGTAAATAAAATGAAACAAAACAAGAAACCCAAAATAAACACAAACAACAATTTCCAACACCCTTTTATTGCCACTATATCGTCACTGTATCACTAGTTTATTGCGTTTTATGCAGAAATGAATTATGCACTTCCTCTATTTTCTACCCATTATGCAAATTTTGTGTTATGTATATGATTGGATTGAGCACAGCAAATGAACAAAACTACACGGACCAAATGTCAACAAAAAAAAAGAGTAGAAGTCAGTGGAAATGAACACGTCGTTTCAAACAAATAAACGGTCACACCTCCATAAAGAGCAAGTATGCTTATATATAAAGCAATATGAAATAGTTGAACTTTCACAATCTAAATAATAAGTAGGCTAACCATGATTGCAACTCGAAAACAAAACCCAAAAATGCAATCAATGTATGTGCCATGTAAGGCAATTAGCCACTGCCACCGACTGTACAAATTACATTTCACGTGGCTACACAGAATATCTAAACCAAATAGCTATATTAAAATGTATGGATGATCATATAAAGCACCTCCAACACAGCTTCTATGTCTGCATCTTCATATAAAGGATTTCCTGACATAATTAAGGAGCACAGTGAATTCCCAAGTGATAAGTGAAGACTGAACTCAAT